AAGTCTGCGCGTCTGCTGCGGCCTCCGCGTGCGCGCCCACCCCGGCCGTGGGTTCGGCCTTTGCGCCAAGCGGGTGGGGGTGGCTGCCCCTGGGTCTCGGCCGCCGCCGGGCCCGGGAAGCCCGGCATGACTCAGGGGAGAATTGCAGAGCCGGAGGAAGAGGAGCGCTGGTGAGGGGCCAGGGAGAGAGAAGAAGGAAGGATTGGGAAACTCTACCGCCTGACCCTGGTTACTAGTCCTGCTACCGTGAACTGAACTTCCACGAACCCGTTTCCTCGTCTGTAAAATGGGGATAATGATAGTATTTGCCCCTTAGGGGAGTTGTGAGGATGAAATGAGGTCATTGGTGCCCTAGCGTGTAAATTTACCTGACTCCTGGTAAAAGATGTTTAAATGTTAGCTATTATTGGTATATTTATTTTGTATATTGAAGGGGTTTACGAGAGGCTTCCCCAAGATATGTCACTTTGGCACGTGAATTATTTTGAACCAAAGGCTAGAGACCCTGTGGATTCAAGAGAAACTTTTACCTCTCCCTTAAAAATTTTAAATTAGGGGCCTTGCCTGTAATAAGAGTCATCACCAGAAAAATATTTTTAGGACCAATGTATAGGGCAGTGCAAACTTCTGATTACTGAACATCTGCTGTTCTTATGTCCTTTGAATGACCTTTCTCCCCTCTGAGGCCCCAAGGTACCGTGGCCTCATCCTTAGCTCAGAATGTAACTTGTACTTCATTTTAACTTTCTGTCTCTGACCTTATCTGTGTGGGGTTCCCATATGTACATATGCAATTAAATTTAGTTGTTTTCCCTTGTTAATCTCTCATGTTGATTTCATTATTAGGCCAGCTGGAAGATCTAGACGGGCAGAGCAGTTCCTCTCTCCCCTGTTATTGAGATACTGATCTAGACTCCTGCTCCTTTAGCTCCATTGGACCTGATATGGCGAAGGCTCAGCCCTTCAAACACGGGAAGCTTCTTCGATGAGTAGCCGATTTCAGCTACTTTGCAAATCAGGTTCATGCCCTGAAGGTGGCCATGTAGGAACGGAGCTGGTCGCAGGCCAGGAACCCTGACCCCAGCCTCCCAGCGGGGATCAGTGCGTTCCCAGTGGAGACTGCCCTGTGTCTTCCTGCTGCAGCTGTCACTCGCTCAAAGTCCACGCTGGAGCTCTGGGGAGCTGTCAGGGATCAGTTAGCACAGCCGCAGGCAGCTGCTGGGTGAGGGCGCCCCGGGGCCAGAGAGAGAGGGTCCCAGGGTTTTCTTTTGGCTCAGACTCTGGCATAGGAATATGTTTGTAAGGAATTCTCAACACACCACCCCTTCCTGCCGCACACCTGCTCTGGAAGCTAGGAAGTCTGCATAGATGGGAGGTGGTGAGCATTGTAAAGCTTAAGGATTCCAGCCAGGCCAGGCACTGTGTTCCTCTATACCAGATCCCTTCCGTCCTCTCCGTTTCTTTTACTCTGTGCAGTCATTTTACTGCGTAGTTCTGTTGGTATCCACATGTTACAGATGCGAGGACTGCTTTCCCCTGGCGGGAAGGGGGCGGCACTCCCCCTGATGGGGGTACTTTGCTTTACCTTTGATTTGTGAACTGATTTACCTTTGTCCCCACCCCCTTCATTCCTGGGAGCTCTGGGATAGAACCTGGTCTTTGTGTCAGTCTCTCCCATGGCTGGTGACAGAAGTGGTGAGTGTTCTTGAATGGAGGCTGTGTTCTCCAAAGCTTGGTAGAGATCTTTATCTCCGGGCCCTCAGGCCTCAGGGCCCTGGCCCTCTCCGAGTAAGATCCATGTGTAGCTGGGCTGGCAGCCGCAGCCTCCTCTGTTCCATTTAATTCCACACTAACGGAGTTTATTGTTAACCCCACTGTGCAGGCGAGGACCCTCTGCAGAGCCTGAGCTGGAGAAAGCCACTGTATGACAGAGGCAGGATTCACGCCTGGTCTGCCTGATCTCCCTCCCTCTGTGCTGGGGGCAGGGGTCCAAAACTCTCACCCTGCACCGGCCAGATCCAGCCTGCTGTCTGTTTTTGTACAGCCCAAGAGCTAAGACTGGGTTCACATTGTTCAATGGTTGAAAAGAGGTTAAAAGAGGAATATCCTGTGATGTGTGAAAATCATATGAAATTCATACTTTGGCACTTGAAGTTTTACTGGAACACAGGCACGCTCATTCGTTTGCCTGTGGCTTGTGGCTGTTTTCTTGTTATAACAGTGGAGTTGAGCAGTTGCAACCGAGACCATAGGGCCAGCAAAGCCGAAAATATTTCCTCTCTGGCCCTTTACAGAAAAAGTTTGCGGACCCTGGTTGGGGCAGGGAGGGTCCTCTGGAAGTTCAGGGTTTGGCTTTCAGAGTTGAGAGTGGAAGAAGAGGAAGATGAGGAGTTCGGAGGCGGAATGGGCTGGGCTGGGCTGGGGTAGACTGGCTTAGGTCAGGCGTCCCCGTATGTGCGAGAGATTAGTAGCTAGATCCTTTCTCTAGTGGGTTTTCCTCTAAGCTTGTCACCTGCCCCCACAGCCCCCATTTCTGGGCATGGCTCTTTAAAGGAACCACAACTATTGTCTCTGACCAAAGCTGTTTCCTTCTTCACTCCAGTGGGTGGCCAGCATCGACGTGGTGGAGAATGACGAGGCCAGCGCGAGTGTCGTCGTTAGAATGACAGACTCGTTTACCGAGCAGGCTGACCAGGTAATTCCAGAAAAGGCCCCCCCCAAGCCTGTGTTGGGGGAGCCCTGGGAATAGGTCTCCACTGGCCATGTGTTCTTCCCTTTTTCGAGTATTATTTCTCTAATTATGAAAGCCATGTGTACCCGTTGAGGGAAATTTGAAAAAAGTGGAAAACATATAATGAAGACATATTACCCATAATCTATGTCTAGCTAGCTGCATATTCACATTTTGGCCGATTTTCTTGTCTTTCCTATGGATCCTATTAGCGTTACAGGTTGAAATCATCTTGTGTTTTATATTTTATGATCAGCTTTTAACATTTTTAAATAAAATTTTATTTCATTTCAGTACTTCTTCAATCTCTTAAAAATAAAAACCCTCTATGTCAACATGTAATTTTTTATATTGTGGATCGGCCACAATTTTTAGTTTCCACACGTACGTTTAACATTTTTGTAATTTTTTACTTTTGCCACTAACAAGTGGCAAACATCCTTGTCCCCATCTCTGATTATTTATTTAGGGTGCATTCTAAAAAAGTGGAGATCCCTAGTTCAAAGCAAGAATACCACTGAAGCAGGTTATTTTGAATTATACAATGATGTGCTTATCATAATACAAGAAATCAAACAAAAACTGTAAATATTTCAGTCACTGGTGCACTCCCCCTGTGACCCCGAGACAGTGTCCCTCCCAGCGGGAAGCTCTCTCAGCAGCTCGATGGATGTGTAGGTATCAGTAGCTGAGTTGCTCGTAAGTGTCTCCCACAGACCGCCCGAAGGACGTGCTTTCTGGGGTCCTGGCGCCAGCACTCCAGCCCACATCCCCCAGGAAGTGACATCCTTCTCTGTGCGAGGGGCTGTGTTTACACGGGCGCCCTGTGAGGCAGGCGGCAGGCATGGCAGCCCCCTTTCCAGCCAAGGGACTGAGTGTCAGAGACAGAAGCTATTTGGTGGTGGTGGTGGGGCGGGGGGGGGAGCATGATGCGCGGAACAAGAGACTTGTTAACGACTCAGGAACAACTTGAATAAGTCCAGGCTCTGTTTTTTGTTTAGTTGCACCCTCCTGAGTCATCTAAACACGGTGCAGGCCCGAGGTTCTGTGGTCCTTAGCCATTTTTTATAACACATTTAAAAATGATACAAGTGATGTATGTATGATATAGGAAATAGAATAAAATAAAAAGAAGGGGAAATCGTGTCTAGTCCCATTATGCAGTTAATGTGTTGTGAGATTTCCTTTCAATCCATTGCTCCAGACATGCACATGTATAAATTTAAAATAAAACCCATGAGCATACCGTCCTGCTCACTTCGTCTTTCTAAAGCATGAGTTTGACGTAGGCTAGAACAGCAGTGGTCGGCAAACTCATTAGTCAACAGAGCCAAATATCAACAGTACAACGATTGAAATTTCTTTTGAGAGCCAAATTTTTTAAACTTAAACTACATAGGTAGGTACATTGTTATTAACTTAATTAGGGTACTCCTAAGGCTTAGGAAGAGCCACACTCAAGGGGCCAAAGAGCCGCATGTGGCTAGCGAGCCGCAGTTTGCCGACCACGGGGCTAGAATATAAAAAGCCAGCTGCCTTTTTCCAGAAGGTAGATTTTTGTTGCTCTTACTGTTCTCTTTTTAAAATATGTTTTTATTTGATTTGATTGATTTTAGACAAAGAGGAAGGGGGAGGGAGAAACATCGATGTGAGAGAGGAACATTGATCGGTTGCCTCCTGTATGCAGGGATTGAACACACAACCTGGGTATGTGCCCTGAGTGGGAATTTAACCAGCGACCTTTAGGTGCCTGGGACAGCTCTCAACCGACTGAGCCACACCGGCCAAGGCTTCTGTTCTTACTTTCCATAACCTGGTCCCGATGTTTCCTGCACTATTGGCTTTAATGGACATGGCGTTGTGTGTCAGGCATCATTCTAAGTGCTTTATTCACATTAACTTGCTGAATGGCTGTAACCCCTCAGAACAAAGTTTCTAATTTATCTTCCTTTTAGGAATGGGGAGTCTGAGGCACAGAGAGGCCCTGGTATTTTCTCGGGTCAAACAGGTGGGAGGTGGCACAGCCAGGATTTGAACCAGGCAGTGGGGTTGGATGCCTGCTCTCCTAACTGCATGCTAAGCTGCCTTGCAGCAAAGCAGCTCCCTGTGAATAAAGTAACCAAAGCTGGAATTAAGTGCAGGGGAGCCCTGGGCTCTGTCTGAGAGCCGCTGGCAGAGTGGTTCCTGCAGTCAGTGTCTCTTCTCTTGTTAGTTGTGGGTGCTGATGTCTATGTGCTTTTTGAATGTGAAGTTACTTGTATCTGAGACTTGACTCTACAGAACTTTTAAACTCTTTAACTTCTCGTCCCCCCCAACCCCCCCTCAGTTAGGAATTTTCTGGACAATAGCACAACATCCAGTTTTTGTTTGGAAAGCTCTAGAAGAGGAAATTCAACCCTAATACATAGAAGATTGGCCCCCTGGGTGCTCAGCAGTTCACTAGTGACAGTGAAGAGATGCAGAAGCCAGGAAGGCATGACATTTATTTATAGAAAACTATTGGGCAGAAAGCAACATTTAAGGGGGAGGAATTAAAAAATGCCTAGATGTAAAAAATAAAAAAAGTCAAACAGTTGCATTGTTGTTGTGGGCTTCCTGCTTTCCTGAAAAGTAGAACAGATGTCAGGGGAGGTGATCCAACTTCCGGCCCCTGGGCTCTGGGCTCTGGGCCCTTGGCAACAGGACAAGGCTTAAGAATGGAGGGAGGGCCCAGCCGGTGTTGCTCAGTGGTTGAGCATTGACCAATGAACCTGGAGGTCACGGTTTGATTCTTGGTCAGGGCACATGCTGGGGTTGTGGGCTCAATCACCAGTAGGGGGCATGCAGGAGGCAGCAGATCAATGATTCTCATCATTGATGTTTCTATTTCCCTTCCTTTCTGAAATCAATAAAAATTAAAAAGAAGATTCTAGATTGCTTTATAAAAAGCACATTGAAATGTAGGTGGGCTTTACTAACCCAAATGGTCATCGTAGGTTTGTCCTACATTTAGTTTTCAAAGTGTTCCTTGCCAGGCGCTGTTACCTGTCTTCAGAGAAAGTGAAAAATAAACAAGTGTCTGAAGGCGTCAGCCTGTTTAGGTTTCCCCGGCGATTTACGCCCCTTTTCGTCCTTTTCGGTTCAGGTGACTGCTGATGTCGGGAAGCTCCTGGGTGAAGAGAAGGTGGACGCCATCCTTTGTGTGGCTGGAGGCTGGGCTGGGGGCAATGCCAAGTCCAAGTGTGAGTCCTTTTCTGAGTTGATCATTCACTCCGTTCTGCTCTTTGTCCCGGGGGCGGGGACTGGGTCGGTTCTGTGTGCCAGGCCAGATGTTTTCCTGCGTGTCTCCCAGACGCTGTAGAGTAGCTCTGTGAGGTCGGGACAACCACCCCCTTTCACAGTTGGAGAAGCAGCTCCCCATCAACAGGGTAAGGGGAGGGGACATTGAGCTGGAGGTGTAAAGGCAGGATGGAATCAGCATTGTTCCCGCCCTAATCTCACAGGGCTTATTCCCGGGGTCGGGGGATGTGTATGACATGGAGAGATCGTTCCGCAGGTCAGAAGGACTCAACATTGAGCTTGTATCAATGCCGAGTACATCTTCCAACTGTTTATTTTAAGTTTATTGATTTTTTACAGAGAGGAAGGGAGAGGGATAGAGAGTTAGAAACAGATGAGAGAGAAACATGGATCAGCTGCCTCCTGCACACCTCCCACTGGGGATGTGACCGAAACCAAGGTACATGCCTTTGACTGGAATTGAACCTGGGACCTTTCAGTCTGCAGGCCTACGTTCTCTCCACTGAGCCAAACCGGTCAGGGCCATTTTGCAACTTTTTATTATGAACATTTGCAAACACACGGAAAAGCTGGAAGAAGAGTTCAGGGAGCACCCGCCCCCTCCATCTGGATTCGGTAACTGCTGACATTGCTGTCCATGCTCCCTGGCTCTCCGCAGGGGTGCTCTGTGTGGGCATTTTTTTGTTAACCACTTGCTGTGAGTAAATGAATACTTTGCTCATTTCAGCATGCATCCCCAAAGAATATGCTCATTTTCCTACATCATCATAATACTGCTATCATAGCTAAGGAAAGTAATAGTCATTTTGTAAGATTAATAATATTCAACCGCATTCAAATTCCCAAATTTATTCCAGAGCTTTTAGAGCTTTTCCCCCCCTTAAGCATCAGGGTTTATGCCTCCTTTTGTTGTTGTTTTTAGTCTCTTAATGTAGAATTTCTTCCCCCTGGTGATAGACTTGGTGAGGCAGGGCAGTTTTCATATGAATGTGTCTCACTGTTTCTCTAAGGCAGTGATGGCGAACCTTTTGCACTCCGCGTGTCAGCATTTTGAAAAACCCTAACTTAACTCTGGTGCCGTGTCACATCTAGAAATTTTTTGATATTTGCAACCGTAGTAAAACAAAGATGTATATTTTTGATATTTATTTTATATATTTAAATGCCATTTAACAGGGAAAAATCAACCAAAAAAATGAGTTCACGTGTCACCTCTGACACGCGTGTCATAGGTTCTCCATCACTGCTCTAAGGTGTCTTTACCTGGTTCATCTAGCCCGAGTATTTCCGGTGCACTGGAATTTAGGTCTGGAACTTGCTTAGGATCAGGTTAAGCATCTTGGAGGCGAGAATTCTTCCTGCGTCATGTGTACTTCTTACTAATCCCAGTGGAATTGTCACCATGTCAGATGGCCCTACCACCCCCAGTGATGCCCCGTTTGCTGATGGGTTAAGGTGGCAGCCGATAGGCTTCCATTGTAAAGGTCCGTTTTCTGTTTGTAATTAGTAAGCGAACCGTGGGACTGTGCTTTGGCAATGAGTGTGAATATCCTCTTTCCAAACACCTTGCGAATCCCAGATTTCTATAACCCAAGGGTGTTAAGCATCCATGGATTATCCCTGCCCGAGTCAGTGATTCCAGACGGGGGTGGAGAATGGTAGTCCTAATTCTGTCATTCCTTCTACATGTATTAGCCAAAGCCATGTAAAAAGGAATCGATTTTCTGTGAACCACACTTGGATGTGAAAGTGATATTTTGTGGGGTTTGGGCAAAACACCCTGATGGCCCTTGGTGTATTTTGGGGACAAGGAGTGGTAAGTGTGGGTCCATCAGTTTTTTTCTAGTCCTTTTCTGCAGGGAAACACGATCCCTGGTTGTCCCTGGGGAAAGACCCCCGCTGGATGGGGGCTTTCTTCCTGGGCCATGGGCACAGCCTCACTGGGATCTTTGTGCCTTGTGAGGGGGGATGGGGACGGCTGCCCGTCCAGCCTCCAAAGTTACACGTCACCACTTGCTTCTTCTTGCATTTTTAGTGAGGCCAGAGAGTTAAAGTAAGTGTGAAATGTTGTCATTTCAGGTTTTTTTGTTTTTGTTAATCCTCACCTGAGGATATTTTTTCTATTGCTTTTCAGAGAGAGTGGAACGGAGGGAGGGATGGACAGGGAGAAAGAGAGAGAGAAACATCAATGTGAGAGAGACACATCGACTGGTTGCCTCCCAACTGGGGGTAGGGAGCACGCCTGCAACCCAAGTACGTGCCCTTGACTGGAATTGAACCTGCAACCCTTCGGTGTGTGGGCCGACGCTCTAACTATTGCGCAACACCGGCCAGGGCTCAGCTTTCTTTTAAAGGGTCTTTAAAGCCAGCATTAAACTTTTGAACTTGAAAATGTAGCTTTGGAAAAGCCCTCTATATCCTTGTGGTAATGGCCCCTCAGCTTTTTATCATCAGTCAAACCTGACTTAGACATGCAGGTTCTATTGCAAACCTAACGCCCACCTAAAGCAGGACCCTCTCTGACGGGCAGTCCCGCAGACTGTTCACAGTCTGCACTTGCTGCCTGAAATGTGGCCAGTTTCCAGGGGAGCAAGCTGGGACTGGTGGCCTGGATTCAAACCTGCGTCTCTGACCTCAGAGCCCTCGCTGCTCATACCAGACCCTGTCGTCGGGGCGGGAGAGGCTGGTGCTTCCCCAGTGTCTGCACCCTGAGCGACTCAGCGGCCAGGCTCTTCCCACCGAGGCTGAGCCCACCTGTGTTTCCTCCCTCAGCTCTCTTCAAAAACTGCGACCTCATGTGGAAGCAGAGCATGTGGACATCCACCATCTCCAGCCACCTGGCCACCAAGCACCTCAAGGATGGAGGCCTCCTGACCTTGGCGGGTGCCAAGGCCGCCCTGGACGGGACTCCTGGTGAGCCTCCATTTCCCCCTCTGTGAAATGGGAGTGCTAGTGCTTGCTCGCTGGGGCTGCGGGGCACTTCGATGACACAGGGAATGTTGAAGCCCTTTCCCCTCTGGGGTGCTTTGTGTGGGTGGGTTTTGCTTCCTTTGCTTCCTGAATTCCTCATCTTCCTGGTGGTTAAGGGATGCTGCCATCTGCCCCTTTACCCCCTCCAATCTGGTTTATTTATCCATCTTCCACTCTGGGTATGAATGGTGCTGGAGTAGGTACAAATCCTATATAATAAAAGGGTAATATGCAAATATACCAAATGGCAGAACAACCAAACAACGAATCAAAGCGAACATGCTGAAGATATGCTAAGGCTGCTTAACTGCTGGCTATGACGTGCACTGACCACCAGGGGGCAGATGCTCCAACTGGTAGGTTAGCTTGCTGCTGGGGTCCAGCCAATCGGGATTTAGCAAGATGGGCCGGACATTTCCTGGAGCCCTCCCGCGGTCTCTCCCCAGGTCGATCGTGCACTGGTGGGGTCCCCCAGCCTGGCCTGTGTCCTCTCGCAATCTGGGACCCCTCGGTGGATGTCAGAGAGCCAGTTTCAGCTTGATTCTGCAGGCCACTCCCCTTGGGAGGGCACCAGATGCAGGGCTCATGGCTGGTGAGCGTAGCTGTGGCAGCGCGAGCCTCTCCTGATCGGGACTGATTGGGCACCAGCCTGTGGCAGGCACAGTGGGGCCAGGATGAGCGGGAGCGGCAGGTAGGAGCTGCAGGCAGCATTGGAGTGCGGGTTTTAGCCCGATCCCTGCAGGCCACCCAGAGGGACACCACCCCCCCCCCCCCCCTTGCACAAATTTGTGCACCGGGCCTCTAGTTAGATAATAAACAGGCATTATCACCATCACGTTGTGCTCATGTGTCCCAGGGAAGCAGCTCGGCCGCCAAGAATAGTGTGGGTGATAGAGTAAGAGAGGCCGGGGTGCATTCTTCGTCCTAGATGGGTGGCATTGAACAAATCATGCATCTGACCAGATTTCTGCCAGAGTCACTGTAACTAGTGACAGTAGCGTTGGCCTTGAGGAGCAGCTGTAAGCGCTGGAGGCCTTAACATGTGGGAGGTGCCCAGCACAGGGCCATTTTCTCATAGGCCAGTTCACTTCCGTGTATTCTCATGGGATCCTGGGGCGGATGGCATTCGAGATCTTTCTCAGTTTGTAGGTAAGGGAGCTAGAGCGGAGCACGGTTCGTTCACTTGTCGGGGTTTCTGCGCTAAGTTGTAACCTTGCTTTGAACCAGAACCCCCATCACTTCTTAACTGTGTGCTTTTCCCAGTGCATCAGGCAGATCCAAGTTCTGTTCGCATGTTCGGCTCCTGGTGTTAGTCCTAGGGCTGCCATAACCAAGTTCCCCTGCGGCTTAAACAACAGACACTTGTCTCATAATTCTAGAGGCTGGAAGTTCAAGATCAGGGTGTCAGCAGGGTCAATTTCTTGATTTCTTCCTGGTGCCTCTTCCCTTGGTTTGTCAATGGCTGTCTTTCTACTGTGTCCTCGCATGCTCTGTGCCTGCCTGGGTCCCAGTCTCCTCTTCTTACAAGGACACTGGTAGCACCCACCCTAATGACTCATTTTAACTTGATGACCTCTTTAAAGACCCCACTTCCAAGTACAGTCACATTCTGAGGTACGGGGGTTTAGGACTTTAACATATGAATTTAGGGGGCACAATTCAATCTATAATACTCCCTTTCAGGTGGGGTTAAAGGAACTTAAGTGGTGGTTTGGGGGGGACAGCCCAGAGGCAGAAAGTATCCACCTGTACTACCTAAGTGGAACTCTTCTTTAATAAAAGGGGGGCTGCTTTTCGGCCTCTTTGGTGTGCTGGAGAGCTTGAGCACCTTTTTCCATTTTAAAAAAATATTTTTTATTGACTTCAGAGAGGAAGGAAGGAGAGAGATATCGAAACATCAATGATGAGACAGGATCATTGATTGGCGGCCTCCTGCACACCCCCCACTGGGGATTGAGCCCACAACCCAGGCATATACCCTTGACCGGAATTGAACCTGGGACCCTTCAGTCCACAGGCCGACGCTTTGTCCACTGAGCCAAACCAGCTAGGGCACCTTTTTCCATTTTAATGCAACTCGCTGAACTGCGCGGCTCTTAGGAACCAACAATTTCTTGTCTCTTGTTTTTTTACTACAAGTCTCAGAGCCTATGATCTTACCTGTCCATGTCTATTGCAATCATTAAAGCTGTGTAAATGTCAGGTGCTAGCTTGGTTGAGTTCTGGTTTTTATTAAAGGTGACGGAGAACAGGCACTGGAAAGTAAGTAGAGAAATGAATAGCAGCTTGACATTTAAAAAAGAAAAAACCCCAAGACTTGAAAGACTAATTTTTCCTAAGGACAGAACACTCTCCTACTTTCCTTTGGTTTGTAAATATCTCTTTGTTCATAGTTTTGGATACTGGTTAAGAGTGCAGGCTCTGGGACTTCACAGGTTGGATGTCTCTGGTGATCTTGCCACCTATTGTGTGATATTTGGCAAGTTACTTAACCTCTCTAAGGCTCAATAGTGCCATCTGTAAAATGGGGATAAATAATAAAATATTCTATGTGGCAGTTAGGACTTGCAAACATCTTAATGGATGTGAATGGCTTAGAAAGGTATGACAGAGTCAGTGGTAAAAGTGAACTGGCATGATTATTTATTTCAGACTTACTCTTGCTCAGCTAGTTTTGCTGCAGATGTTCATAACTGTTCATCTTTAAGTTCTGAGTTAGGTATTGTTATATTTATTTGAGTCATGAAACTTTTCAGCTTTGGTTCAGACCCTAGAAAAATCTGGGGAAATCTATGTATAATTTGAAAGTAAACGACGAAGAGGCTGTCATCCTTTAAACCCAAGAAAAGTTGTTCAAAACGGAAACATACTGAGAAAACCCACCCTCTTATTTCCAAGGCTGTATTTGTAGGTCACCTTCTGGAGGATAAACTGTGTTCAATGCTAGTGATCACTTTTGTTTTGCTGTGTTTGGAAATCAGTCTTGAGGGACTACCTTGATCATTTTATAATTGGGAAGAAAGTACTTATCTTCTTATAAAATACTCCCCCCCCCCCGAATTTCTTGCAAATGATGTCCTTACTTGCATTGTGTAGAATTATGTAGAATTAAACCATTAGGGTTGCGGGGTGCTTGTTTCAAAAAATACATTTTTATTGATTTCAGAGAGGATGGGAGAGGGAGGGAGAGAAACATCAATGATGAGAGAATCATTGATAGGCTGCCTCCTGCATGCCCACTACTGGGGCTCGAGCCCGAAACCTGGGCATGTGCCCTTGACTGGGAATCGAACCATGACCTCCTGGTTCATAGGTCAACACTCAACCACTGAGCCACATCAGCTGGGCGCATGTTTCTTTCTTCATCAGATCCTCTCTCATGCTGTTTGAATGGAATGAAGAGTGAGCCCTGGAGGGTGCTGGGGTCGGGGCTGGATGAATGAGAGTCATATGCTTTGAACCCCTGCAGAGTTTGTCCGATCTTTCTACCACTGGTGGCCCCCGGCCCCTGATTAAACAGAGAAGCCTGGGATGGTGAAATATTCTGCTTATGCTTCTAAATAACCGTTTGGGACCTTGACCTGCTTTTGCAATCCGAGGTCGCTGTGGAAGCAGTTTAGTGATTGGTTCCTCGGCAGGGCTGTGATCCCCACCTCCCTCTGAACCTTTGCCGCCTCCTCAGCTGTTTTGCTTTCAAGAGCATGCTTGCCGGGGCTTTTAAAGAGACTGCTGACTCCTGAAGAAGTTTTGTGGAGGAGGAGAGGTGTTCACAGCATTTCGTGAGCGTCCGCAGCTAGGTGTGTGGGGGACTGTGAGAGGAGAGACCCTGTTCCTGCCACATGTCTGCAGAGCAGGCGGAAACCTGGCCTAAGGAAAGGCGTGCCTTGTTCAGGCAGCAAGCATTCACTGGTCAGTGGGGGCAAATGAAGACTAGTGGGCAGCGTTGTATACGTATGTCAGCATTGCTCACACTTTACCCAGGGAGATGGACGCCTGGGCATGTTACTTCTATGAATTTGATGGGAAACATTTATTGAGCACCTACTGTGTGCTGAGCTCAGAATTAAGTACTTCATTCCCATTTTACAGATGGGGTAACTGAGGCTAGCAAGGCAATGAGAACTAGCTCAGGATCTCTTTAGTGGTAAGTGGAAGAGCTTGGATTTGAACCTGTGCAGCCTGCCTCCAAATGACAGCTCGATTTTGCTCACAAGTAATTAACAATCTGGGGGTTCAGAACCCAGCTCTTGCCTGGCCCTTCACCTCTATGGGGGGGCGGGGGCGTCAGTGCAAGTGTGTGTGTGTGAGCTTGGGCGTGTCACTTACCCTGTCTGAGCCTTGATGTTCTCAACAATAAAAATAAAAAGGCTCAACTTACAGCTTTTGTGATGAACGTTAACTGTCGGGTGACAGTCGGTGCTCTTGAAACGTTACGTGCCTTCCACGCTCTCTCCATAGATGTCCATCCTGCCCTTCTTCCCGGCCTCCCCTGGACCCTGGCGTGGTGGCCTTCGGACACACCAGCGGTGGCCAGTGCTCACTGAACCGTTTTCTCTCCATTTCCCAGGGATGATCGGCTACGGCATGGCCAAGGGCGCCGTCCATCAGCTGTGCCAGAGCCTCGCGGGGAAGAACAGCGGCATGCCGCCCGGGGCTGCGGCCATCGCGGTGCTCCCGTAAGTGCTCTGCCCCCCTCTGCTCCCCTCTGCCTAGAGTCCCCGTGGCCTGGAGCCGTTTCCCCAGGGACGCGTGTGTGCCCTCACCTTGGCTCTAAAATTCACCCCTGAAGAGCCTTCTTCTGGTGTTGGTGAGCCTGGCGGCTAGAGTGGTGGACCGGCTGATGGGCGGGTCTGTCTGTCCTGCCTCTTTCTTGTTTTTTTTCCTTCCTCCCATCTGTTTCCCCCTTTTCCCTGATTCAGCTTAGTTCAGACATTTTATTTGAATACTTGTAGTTCTGTCTTTTTTTTTTTTTTTAAAAAGATACATTTTTATTGATTTCAGAGAGGAAGGGAGAGGGAGAGAGAGAGAAACATCAATGATGAAAGAGAATCATCGATTGGCTGCCTCCTCCACACCTTCCACAACCTGGGCACGTGCCCTGACCAGGAATTGACTTAACCGTGACCTCCTGGTTCATCGGTCAATGCTCAGTGCTCAACCACTGAGCCATGCCGGCCGGGCAAGATTGTATTTAACAAAATAAGGCAAAATGTGGCTCTTCCATTTGGTTCCTGTCTGCGTAACGGGGGGCGGAGGGTCACAGAGCGCCTCCCTGAATTGCACTCGGACTTGACCTCTGTGTGCAGCGGCTTCCTGGCCTTGCTCTGATTGTCCACGTGCTATCTCCACGTGCGACGCTGCCCCCCGTGGTATTGGGGGCCCTCGGTGTGTCCTCCTGGCTGAGGAGGCCGGGCTGCCGAGGGGAGACACCAATGGCTGGCTTATCTCTGCTCCGCAGAATCACCCTCGACACCCCGATGAACAGGAAGTCCATGCCCGAGGCCGACTTCAGCTCCTGGACGCCCTTGGACTTCCTCGTGGAGTGAGTATCACAGGCACACTGTGCCAGCGCCTGGGCGGCTCCAGCCCCTCGCTGTGCCCCTGGGCGTAGCCACACGGGTGGCCTGGGAGCTCACTGGCCTCTGAGTGTACCTGGCACATCAGTGTGAATCTTATACAGTTGGGGGGGCACTCCCAGCCCTGCTCCGTCCCCAGAGGCAGGGGCATGACCTATCGCAGATGTCAGGGCGTTTCAGTGGCGCTTGGCTTTTGGAGCCTGTCCCTCCCCCGGGCTTGTTTGACGCTCAGGATGGAGCTCCGGAGACGTGGCAGTTGAACTTCAGTTCTGGTCCAGAAGGCACAGCCTGGCACTCAGGAATGTCCCAGGAGCTCTGAGTGCTGTCTGGTTAAAGGGGTGCAGAGTCCCGGCTGGGGGACCGGTAGAGGGATGGTGTAGTCAGCAGCCACACGAGAGGTTTTAAAAGACATCAGCTATGTGTTCAGCCTCCTGGGTTTCTGATGCCTTTTCTCCCTGACACCCTCAAGTAGGGTTGGTTGCCCCTCCCCACACAGGGTTAGTAAATGCCCCTGTTCTAGCATTTAATGTATTTTATTGTAAAAGTCCATTTTTTGTACTTTTTCCCCATTGCTTGATACAGCTGCAGGTGTTCCTTACATGTTTGCTATAAAAAAAAATGAGTTTCTTCTTTCTCTGTTTTAAATTTCTGGGAAGGTAATATAGCAGCGTATGAACTAAAGTGCTTTTATAAAATATATATATATATATAGTTTATTGATTTTTTTACAGTGAGGAAAGGAGAGGGATAGAGAGTCAGAAACATCAATGAGGGAGAAACATCGATCAGCTGCCTCCTGTACATCTCCCTACTGGGGATGTGCCCGCAACCAAGGTACATGCCCTTGACTAGAATCGAACCCAGGACCCTTTAGTCCGAAGGCTGACGCTCTATTCATTGAGCCAAACTGGTTAGGGCTAAAATGCTTTTTTTTTTAAAGTGCGTAAAATCATACCACTGTGTTATAACATATTCCAACAATGCAGGAAAATACAAAAATGAACCTTCAAATCTTGCCAGCTCCTGCCACTCAAAAAGTAGAAGGACTAAAGTGCTGAAATCATGGGGACCTGGTTATGTGTCCGGGATGCCTTAGTGCAGCGGTTCTCAACCTGTGGGTCGCGACCCTTTTAGGGGTCAAATGACCCTTTCACAGGGGTCGCCTAAGACCATCGGAAAACACATATATAATTACATATTGTTTTTGTGATTAATCACTATGTTTTAATTATGTTCAGTTTGTAACAATGAAAATATATCCTGCATATCAGATATTTACATTATGATTCATAACTAGCAAAATTACAGTTAGGAAGTAGCGAAGGAAATAATTTTATGGTTGGGGGTCACCACAACATGAACTGTATTAAAGGGCCGCGGCATTAGGAAGGTTGAGAACCACTGCCTTAGTGGCTTTTCATGGCAGCTCCTAAGTCGTTGATGGGACTACAAGCCGTTGATGGGAATATAAGCACATGTTAGATTTTTGCTTTTAAAATGTAACGCTTTTCTTGTTTGTTCTAGAACCTTCCATGACTGGATCACAGAGAAAAACCGGCCAAGCTCAGGGAGCCTGATCCAGGTGGTGACGACGGAGGGGAAGACGGAACTTACCCCCGCGTATTTTTAAGCTTCCTCTCAGTGCCTGTGAGGGGCCTGCCAGAAAAGTCAGCGTATCTCAGTGTAGCCGCGTCTGGCCCCGTGTTTTCTGTAGTCCTGTTTGTGGTTCGAGATGGTGACACCTGTTTTTCTCTCACCTAATGTGCATTTGCTTTCCTAAGACAAAATGTAAATGTAAAGTGTTCATGTGAAATAGAACCGTGTGTGGGGAGGCCTACAGGTGGCGCTGTGGTCCATCTGTATTAACCACATAGGTTTGGGCCCCTCTGGGTCGGGGTCATGTTGAGTGGCTTTTGAAACTGTTTATCTGCCCCTGAGAGTGGCTGTCGGCTTGACTGGTTCAGAGATTTGTTGGCATTGGGGACATTTGAGTGTTATGTTTCTGTCACAGATGTAGTTTTTGCAGCGTTGAATTAAACTGCCTTAAAACTCCTTTTGTGGTGTAAGCGAAATCCATGGACTCTGTCAGGCATCTTTTCCCTGTGTGGTCGCCACTCGTGATGACTTGGAGTTATCTTCCTAATAAATGCACTTCGTTGATTGTGTTATCTTCTGTAATCAAAGCACGTCTTATACACAGTTGTGTGCTAGAGTCCCGGGCTGCTAGCAGCTCTAGTCTGCTGTATTCGCAAGGGGGTAGACTCAAACCCTGAAATACATTTTGTTTTGTTTTTTATATTAGAGAAGAAGACAGGTGGGGAGAGAGAGAGAGAGAGAGAGAGAGAGAAACATCGATTGGTTGTCCCACTTCTGCATTCATTGGTTGCTTCTTATATGTGCCCTGACCAGGGATCGAACCCACAACCTTGGAATATCAGGACAGTGCTCTAACCCAGCGGTCGCCAACCTTTCAGACCTCACGGACCACCAGTTGGTGACCACTGCTCTAACCAACTGAGGTACCTGGCCAGGGCCTGAAGTACGTTTTTCAACACAGTGACAGGCACAACCTTCCCTTGGGCACGTCGGAATCTGAGGGTGGCCGGCCGGTTGGCCCTGTACCTTTGGAAGCACCGCTCCACGTGACAATGCAGGCTGCTCCTCACTGAGAACCAGTAATGGATCATACCCTTCATTTTACACAGGAGGAAACCGAGCTGACATAGCATCTGCATTGCCAGTAGGTGGCAGAACTGAGCCCAGAACCCTGGGCACCAGATTGCTGTTCATAAAGACCTGTACCACGAATTTTCTTTTTTTAAAATATATTTTCACTGCTTTCAGAAAGGGAGGTAAAGAGGGAAACATCAATGATGAGAGAGAATCACTGATTGGCTGCCTCCTCCACCCCACTAGGGTTCCTGCATGCCCCACACTGGGGGTCAAGCCCACAATCTGGACATGTGCCCTGACCAGGATGTGAACCGTGCCCTTCTGGTTCATAGGTTGATGCACTGCCGGGGTCCAACTCCAGCAGGTCCAGGGGTTCCCAAAGGTGTAGACGGAGTCGGCGAAGAAGGAATGACACAGAGACAGCATTCAGATGATCATCATAGCGAGGTTCTCTAGCCAAGTTCTATGTCAAGGTTCTTCAGCGAAGTTCTGGTTAGGATCTCCAGTCAGGTTCTCTTGCCAATTTCTGTAGTCAGGTTCAGTCCAGGATCTTTTGCCATGTTCTCTCCAGCGAAGTTCTTCTGTCTCTAGGTTCTGTGTAGGTTCTGGTCA